GGCAACATGCAATGTATTCATGCAATCTTTTGATGCGAAATTTAATGCATGCAGTAAATAATTGGAGTGGAAGAAGTGTCTGTATGTGGAAGGAAAAAGCTCGTGTCTACCTGACTAATCAAATAGTGGATCCAGACATTTTTAGTAGCTGCAACCAGAACGCCTAGGACGATTCGTGGACTTGCCTAAAAATGACCTGTCATGGAAAAAAGAGCAAGAACCAGAAAATAAAACATAACTTCAGAACTAGCAAAAATTCCTAAAAAATTGTTACATGAAAAATAAGTTGGAGTGCTCACACTAAATCCGTGAAACAAATACTAATTTCTAGCACTAAATAGTGATAGTTAAACAACAGAAAACAAAGGATTCTGTATGAAATAGTACTAAATAGTACTATTTAATGTTCACGGTTTTAGTGCGTGCACTCTGTGATGAATGTTTTTTTACTAATTTCTTTTCCCTTTTTCTTACCGTGTCACAGCAAAACAGTCCAGCAGTAAGGACCAATATATTCTCCGAATCGGACATCGAAACATGCACAGAGACCAAAAAACCTGTAGTGAGGCGAACAGTATCGGACACAGTTGGTGGAAGACTAAGAAAGATTAGTAGTTTCTTGAGCGACAGCAGAAGACATTCTGATGAGTTCACATCTGGAGAGTTTGAAAGTACATCTAGTCAGGTACGTGCTGTAATAAGAATATGCTCCAATGCTTTGAAATGAATATTTAACAACATCTTAGACTTTTTCGTAGGCGGGACTTACATATTTGCGAATTTTGCAATTTATTTTATCAGTAATCATTTTGCCTCTTTCAAACCTTTTTTAATTTGAATGCAACGCTAATAACTCAGAAATAGCTCAGAATCCACTGAGAAAAAGTATGATGCATTTTTATCCTTATATTTTTGAGATACATTTGTTAGTAGTAGATGATTTTTTCTCTTCAACCTGCACGGTTTGCATAATGGCTTGCCATGGATTACGCTTTAGTTGCTTTTACAACGAATGGAAAATGAGTTTTTCTTGAGGAATAAGAGGTATATATTTTCATTTTCGTGTCAGTAGCTCACTCTCAAAACAATCTGGAAGGAAATGTAATTCCAGTGGAAACAAGTATCCTCGATAAAAATCGGTCTGCAGCTTCTCAAGGCGACATTTTGATGCTTTCTTTACATTGTATTGTCGCTTTTGTCAGGAAATAGTTCAGAACTGGAATCTTCAAATCTCGACAAAAATTGTATTATACAAAAATTAAATAACACTGTTAGGTGGCATATATGTCATTTAGAGATGGTTCATATTATCGCAGCCTATTTCTAACAGAATTCTGTTTAAGAATCTGGATGGTTCATTGTTCATTGAAGCGAAAAGAATGGATGAAAAACTTGAAAAACATTTTTCGATTTTCCTTATAGAAGAGTGTGCTAAAGGCGCGATTACACGGTGCAATTTTCTCTGTATCTGTCTTGCAACGGCGTTGCGACACAAGTTGCATGGAGCATTGCAGTGTGCAACCTGCAGCGCAATTTGAAAAATGTTGCGAGACAAGCTGCAGCAATCGTTACGAAAACTAGAATTCGTTTCTACTTTTGGCAAGGATTGAGTCTCCGTTGCACCGTATAGACACTCTTGCAACTTGTGTGGCAACGCTGTTGCGAGACAAATTGCAGAGAAAATCAGTTGCTCCGTGTAATCGAGCCTTAACGTTTCTAGATTTCAATGTAAACGAGAGCTATCAAAAACATTACATCAATAGAATTCTTCGAGAAAACTACAAACTAAAACAAAAACTACAAAACAAAACGAATCAAATAAACAAAAAATGTTATCCAATGTTATTGGGAACGTCGCATAAGCAGAATCTGGCAAGATCTACTTTAACGTTGCGCACAAAAAAAGATCATCGTAATATTGTCTGCATCTTACTGACTGTTCAATGTATGCTGTTCAATATAGGCTAACCAAAATTGGACTCCTTTTTAAAATAAATAGTCAGTTTGTCGCAGAAACGCTTGCTGCATGCCCGGACATTTAAAAAAAAATTCGTTAACATCGTTGTCATTACGAAAAGCTCCATCTTTCTGCATCGCTTTTGCAACACAGATTATTAAAAAATTATGGCAAAGCTTGATTATTTTTTTCCAAGAAATGTCACGCGGATATGTCCGTAACAAAACAATTAGTAAGAAATAATTTGATAAAAACGAGAAAATTTGCCCATTATCAAATTTATAAAAAGTTAAAAAATGATTTGCATTTCATTTTGTTTAATTGTTCGTTCGCTCAGGTTCGGTTCCTATTAGTATTAGGGTCGAGTTGGTATTGCAGTGCGTTGTGGGGCTATCTTAGGAGACATTTCCAAAATGACGTCTATTTCGTCTCCTTAAGAAAAGCTTCAAATTGCAATGCAATGCAAATTAGACCCAGCTTTTTCCTCAACCTCGGAATGTCTGCACTATAAATGTTGTCGTCAGCGGTATCCTGTGTAAAAAATCCACTTAGATCGGTGTCTGCAGTAATGTCGTCAGCGGTAACATGCGTAAACATCCACTTTCTCATAAAAAAAAACACCAGTTAATATTCTGAATAATTGTAATTTATGTCTTTAAATGTAATATAACAGCTTAGTTGTTGACCTTCTTTGTGTGGGTGTTTAAATAATCGTGTTTTCTCTCATGGGTTTTTCTTCAATTCCGAAAATAGAACTTTATATTCGAAGATTAGAAATCTAAATACTGATAATATTTGCGGTAGCTTCTTCGTAAAGTTATTATTCTATTAATAGTTGTGCTATCTATTTAGTATGGACTTGGGGGGTATAGTATGCTTCCAGTTGATTTTGTTTTCAATCTTCTTGCAAAAAAAAAAAAAAAAAAAAAAAAATTTAAATTTTTTTTTATTTTTTTTTTTTTTTTTTTTTTTTTTTTTGGTGGGGGGGGGGGGGGGGGGGGGGGGGGGGGGGATGGATGCATGCCCCTGGACGAGTTTTACCAGATGTTTGATGAACAAAAAGAATTTTGAAATTATTGAATTAAAAATAGGAGCTTTTAAGCTATTAGTCATTCATATCCTTAAATCATTGTATCATAAGCTTATTTAAGAGAGTTTTTAATGTATAAGACTACTTTACGTAGGTAGAAAGTCTATCTTATTAAACATATCTCCAAACAAAAGCTGATTACTTTTAAGCAGAAAACCTTTAAGTGTTGTCAAGAAAAATGCGAAACTTAAAATCTCACAAGATCAACATTGGTTATGAAGTTTTCTTCTAAATTAATGAAGAATGATATCTAATGATTAGTTTGGGTTCCAAGGATTGTTGTTGTCTATAAATCCTGACTTTTTCTTTGTTATGCTTTTACGTCTGTCACGAAGTCATTCATTCTCGGCTTACATCAAACATGGTACTAAGACTTGTCGACTCGAAGTGCCCGGAAGCCCTAATGGGGTATTCTCATCGTTCGACATCTTTAAATATGAATAGAGTGTGGTTAAATCTCGGTTGATAGCCTTAGTAAGAGCAGAAGTTTGTTATCAGACTACGAGCGTCAAGAATTTTAAGTTGCTCAGTGCTCGTGTGTCGACTAAACATCTGCCCTCTCAACAACGTGGTTGTAAGTTCTACACGTTATGTTTCTCTTCAAGCGTTTCTTAGAGGTCAGTAAGCGCATTTTCATTCTAGTTTTTTCTCTCTGGGCGAGTCTTAGATGCATTCTTTCTCTTTCATTGCATTCGTGTTGGTGTATATTGGCTTCAATGGTTTTGGAGAGATATGGTGCTCAGTTCTTGCTTTACTGGCACACGGTAATTTCGGAAACCTCTCAATGGATATTTGCATTGCTTGTCGATGATGTATTCAGACAGGTCTCTCAAAACGTTTCATTCTCTTTTACATCTGTAGGACGTTCGACAGCAGAAAATTAAATGAAATGATTTCAAGATTTTCATATTACTGAGATGATTGCCGGATTCAGCATGAGCGGAGTCAGTGAAAAAGTACTTGTAAAGCTCTTGCCTTAAAAAAAGGAAAGAAAAAAAATAGAAAAAACCCGCAATGACATGTACATTCTTTCTACCCATCTCAATCTCAAGAGCTACCTCTTCTAAAACCAAGACCAGCTGATATTGTAGCAAGGATTTTTAAGCTTTCAGTTTAATCATCAAACGATATCTCAGCCTCTCAAATAACAGTGCCACGATGTTTTCATTTTTCTTGTTTTCACAAAGTTCACAAAATCCGCCGCAAGTGCTGAATAATTTAATTCGAAAAAAATGCTTTCATTTTCGAAGCTAAAAATACCTACACTTGGTTTCTCTGGAAGCTATAGTAGTCCTTCATTTTTGTGCAATTTATATTTAGAAGCATTCAATAAAGTATGTATGTATATATATTGGTGCAAAAGCGTTGGTCAATAAAGCAGTTAGTTTGCTTGCTCGACATGATGTACATACAAAATTACGAATGAAAACTGTTTTTAATCTAGTAAGAGTAGCAATCTTCAAAAATTAATGTCGAGAATCAGTATTTTTCCAGTTAGCTATTACTATTGCCCAAAAATGAACAAAAAGTACTTTACTTGCTAAACTGACGTTTTGACAGGGATTTTTACTTAGAATATCTTCAAATGTAATTAGACATCTTAGTTTCTCGTCAAATCTGTCATTCTTTGAATCGTTAAAAGTAGAGCAACATAGGGCGAGAGAAAAGGAGCTGGAAATCTAAAATATCAAAAATACTAAGATGATAACGATGAAAATATAGAAAGAAACGAGCGCACACACAATAAAAAGGACAAATTTGAATACAACCTTATTTTCACTCCATTTGTCTACATAAGTTCATCAGTTTTTCGTCTGCGTTCCTCATTAATGGAATTAGGAAAAATAAAAAGATGATTCCAAGTCAAAATACTACTCAACATTATATTCAATCCATTTATCTTCATAAGTTCATTTTTCGTTTCCGTCCTTCATTAATGGATTTAGAAAAAATAAAACGATGATTCCGATGAAAATATCAAAAGAAACAAAAGAATGAAAGAAAAGATTGAATACAAGCAACTGCTAGAGAAAAAACATTTCACACCATTTGTCTAGATCAGTTCATTTTTTGTCTGACCCTTTAATGAAGTTAGGAAATTACCTCATGTGATGCTTGTGTTTCAGTGAAATAAGTAAGCGCCTAGCGTTTGCCAAATGTAGTGGCAAGTGAGGAGATGACGCGTAGGACTGACGTGGGCGCACATCTTCAGGCACTTCTGGTATCACGTCTGTTCGCACGTAGGAAAACTCTTTAATGTTGCGATATAATTGCCGTTGTTAGTGATCTGTGGAATTCATTGTTGGCATTGGTGCATACGTTCTCCATGACGAGGAGAGCTCATTGTGTAGGGGCAGAAACAATGCTTTAATCCTTGTCAACATGATTTCATTACACATGTAAGAAAGCACAAACGAACGAACGAACAAACAAACAAACAAA